GTGGGTACAAGTCTCATCTCGCTCTCTATATATACCCAAATATTCTCTATAGGCACACATAGGGTCTTGTTGGCTTATTTCCATTAGATTAGGGCTCTGTTCGGCTGGTCTATAAGTCGTCTGTGCTAATTTGTACGGCTGATTTGTTGAAAGAGAAAAATATTGTACCATGACTGCTTATAATGGCAGCCGAACAGAGCCTAGACTGTATCTAGATTTATGTAGTGCAGTTTTCCGATATTTTATTGCGCACATTGGCTTTTATGGCCCCGTTCGCTGGTCTGAATTTTGGCTGAAACTGGCTGAAAACACTGTTCCGGCTGAATTGTTGTGAGAGAAAAACACTGTTCCAGCTGAAAAAACAAGCCGAACAAGCCAAACTTTAAGACAAGCGAACGGGGCCATATGTAGCTTTGCACGGTGCTCAAAGTATGTCTAATATACCATTCACTAGTATACCAAATTTGATCATATTATGTAATGCAGATTTGCACAAAGTAATGATGAATACACACAATAAGTATTCTAACATCCCATGCCTCTACATGGAGTTAACTACATGAAACACAAGCAATGCAACCAGACGTAGTTTTGTGCTACATAATATTGAATAATGCTAAGACTAATGCAAGCAACCAAATCACACACAGATGTATATATGTGTGTGTTGTCTACTGAACTGCCATCTCCACAAAAGTTCATTTTTATGATGTTTTCACACATAAAAAAAACCTTATTCAAGCAATTTGGAGATCAAAGTCTGAGGAAACTGCAAAGAAAAAAAAATATGACCAATCTAGGAAAAACTAGATGGCTTTTCATAAATATAAAAACCAGTACATAAATTCGAGAATATGAAGAGGATTTTAAGCTGGACGAATATGGTTTGGTGCCCAGCATCACCTCTAGAATCTAAGATGATGTAACGAACATGCAGCAGAGATAAATAATACACACTGCACCTCAACCCTCCGGATCGTTATTCCTCTTCAGGTGAGGTCCTCTTCGGGTGAGGTCCAGACGGCGCATCGTGCATGTGCCTGGGCTGACTGACGGCATGCAAGTTGTTGGGTACCGGCCAGTTGGTTATATCATTAGGTCTAGTCTATTTGCATTGGACAGCTCATGCATACGGCGCAGCAAGGAGAGGTGCATGGGTGTCAATCTGAGCTTTTGCATTGCAGGTTTTGGCTGGAAGGAATCCATCGGACGCAAGTGTCGGTTGGGGGTGCTTGCGAATGTGAACGCATATGCTGTGCATACGGCATACACCTATAGCTCGGCCTCGGCAAGTACTCAAGATTATGTTTGGCAGCACCAACAGCTAACTGTTTTTTTTTCCTGTTAGGTTCACACAATCTTTGAGCTAGTGAGGATAGATTGACAAGAGAAACAAAAAGGAAATCTGAAGTCTCCGTAACCGTCAGAGGGCGATGATAAGAATCCACGTACGAAATCCAAATTCGCACTTAAGACTGAAAAAAAGAAGAAGAAAAAAGGGAGCCCACAGAAGAAGGATCCGTGACCACAACAAGCCCACTAAAAGAACATGCCCGCCACGCTTTCCTTCGTTTTAGCCCAATCTGTATCATGGGCCTAATTGAGCCGAACACAAGAAACAAGGGCCCTCGTCACATCCACCTCACCGGCCGCCGCCGTTTGCATCTGCCGACGGCCATCTCTCTGCCTGCGCGAGCTGTTGCGGCGCGGCACGTGTCCCCACTCCCATCTTGGCTCGCCGCGCCTCTCCCTTCCGCGTGCCGTGCGTGCACGTTGCTGACCTCAGTACCTGTACTGTACGTGCTGCTGCCCCTGGTGTGCCACTTTCGGCCGATCCCACCTGCTACGCACAGGGCCGTCAATCGAGTGGGCTATGCGCTGGCCCATTAATGGTTGAACGAGAAGCCCCAGGTGAAGTCGAATAATGGTTCGCCGGTTGCCACCAGCCCAATACACAACACATCTTCTTCCTCGTTTTCCGACCGTTTGGGAGAGCTAACACAACATCTAGATTTCTCCATTTCGCTAATTTCTACGTTTCACTACCTCAAGTGTTTGGCTTGAAATTGAGCTGCTACATTTCTACAATCCTACAGGATACAACTCATGGATTTTTGCATCGTTCGTATCAGTCTGGAACTCTGAATAAGCATTGCAGCACTGAACATAGTAAACCTATAGCAACTACCAAGTTCTCCCACAAATTCATCTGTTCGCTTGAACTTATCAACCCAGCTTATTAGCCATGGTACAATGTTTGTCTCTCACAACAAAACAGCATCAACGGCTTATCAGTCGGCTTATCCATCAGCCGAACAGCTTAGCTTCTCTATAGTTCAGCCTCCAAAATGTTTCTTTCTTGGAGCATCTCCTGCTCTATATAACCCCAGAAACCTCCCCATGTCAATTTCTTCGATTTTCTTCAAAAGCACTTCTCTTTGCATCTTGGATCCCCCTCTAGTATTATTTCCCCACCCCTAAGGGCACGTTCGTTTGACCGGGAACGAGCTCCAGGAAGGATTCCTAGCCGGATTAGTTACTTTAATTTATATAAGGTTTTACTACCCGAATTGATTCCTGGCCTCATAATATCTTAACCGAACGAGTCCTAAGGAATTTCCTCAAAGTATTCCCTCTCTTTGTAAACTGGCAACCCTAGTAACTCTTTCAATATAAGTAGAGTTAAACCTTTGTAAAAAAAAGTCAAACATCTCTATTGATTTCAATAAAAGCAAGATTAACCTTTGTGTCAATAGATAGAAAAACAGAGAAAATACAGAATGCAGGCATAAGCAATCATCATATACTGAACAAAGACAACGTTCTACCTAGAAAACCCATATACTGAACAAAGGCAACGTTCTACCTAGAAAACCCATAATGTAATGACTTATATTTTTGTAACAGATGGAGTAGTGTTTATTTCTCCCTTAGTTTGAATTATTAATTAGCAAACATGCCCTGTCTTGCAACCGAATGTACAAGTTGTTCCGCGGTTACTTGGACGACTTACAACTTAGAAATTTATGCAACGATCGCATTACTTGTTCTAATACGTCTTGGAATCGCCATACTACTCTAGATTATACGGGGTATGGAAGGCTTAGAAATTTACCAATGATCACCCTTCTATAACTTATACCAACACATGAGAGAGTTGCGGACTACGGAAACATTTTGTATTTCAAGTTGTTTTTTATTTATACAATCATACTCCTTCCCGTGCTTTGACAAGCTACATTAACTCATACGGACACAGATCATGGTTGTGAGCGTTAAAGGACTAAGAGCATCTCCAAGAGTGCCCTATTTCCCTTCCCAATCCTTAGTTTTTAGCAAATTGAAAAAAATCCTCTCCAACAACTCATAATCCATGGTCCTAAAATCTAGACACTTGAAATCCTCCCGTGCGTATCGTTCGGTCAATCTAAAGGTGGAAGGGTGTGAGAAAGAATAAGGAGTAGAAAAAGATTCCTGATGCAAATGTACGAGAAAGAATATATAAAAGTAGTTACGATAATTTAATTCCTAATGTAAAATTGTCTTCTACATTTTAGGAGTGGATTATTGAAAACTTTTGGACGGTCAATCTAAAGGTGGAAGAGCGTGGGAAAAAATAAGGAGTAGTAAAAGGTTCTTGATGCAAATGTACGAGAGAGAAAGAATATATAAAAGTAGTTATGATAATCTAGAAATGATATAGGATTCCTGACGTAAAATTGTCTTCTACATTGTAGGAGTGGATTATTGGAAACTTTTAGAGATGTCCTTTTTTTTCCTTTCAATACTTTTTAGGAGTTGCAACACTACATGTTTTGGGGAGGGAAAAAATAGGATAGTTGCAAAACTATATGTTTTGGGGAGAAAAAAATAGGATACTCTTAGAGATGCTCTAAGAAACCTAGCTCATAATGTTTATTTTTCCCTTTGCATTATTAATTCATTTGGATATTTTTAAATTCTCCCAATGACGGACAAAATCTGCATCGGTCACTAGTAGAGAACAAACCTTTTATCCGATGCTAAAATGGGCTCTAGTCCCGGCATTTTTTGCGCCCGGGACTAAAGAGACCTTTAGTCCCGGTTGGTGTCTCCAACCGGGACTATAGGTCCCTGCCCAACGGCTTCTACGCTCGGCACAGTGACAGAGGACCTTTACTCCCGGTTGGAGACACCAACCGGGACTAAAGGTGGACCTTTACTCCCGGTTGGAGACACCAACCGGGACTAAAAGTCCTCAACCTTTAGTCCCGGTTGGTAACACCAACCAGGACTAAAAGTAGACCCTTTAGTCCCGGTTGGTAACACCAACCCATACTAAAGGACCCTTTAGTCCGGTTGGTAACACCAACCGGGACTAAAGGTCCCCCGATGGGTTAGTTTAAAAGGGAAGCATCCTATCCATTGTTAGATGTGTTGTATAGGTGGGGTGGTAAGTTACGCGCGAGGTAATACATGGGGTATTGGGTTCGAATCTCACGGGACGCAGTGGTGGGAGGCATTATTTTTTTAAAGCTAGGAGGACCTTTAGTCCCGATTAGTCCCGGTTGGTGTTACCCACCTGGACTAAAGGGGCCTTTAGTCCCGGTTCCTGACCCGGGACTAAAGGACCCCCTTTAGTCCCGGATGCTTACTCCCGGGTGAGGAACCGTAACTAGAGGGGGTTCCCCACCACGAGTAAAGCTCTGTTCTCTACCAGTGGGGCTACATAGTGTATTGTGTATACAGAGTAGTATATATACACTGATACACATGAATGCTGAGCTTGCAGCAGAACAGGCAGTCGAAGGAGTTAGCAACACAGTACGGCTTCAGCACGAAATCAACTAAAGAAACATAACAGTCCATTCAATTTCCAAAGAGTTCACATTCTGTTACTCAAGAGCGACATAAGACGAGATATAATTCTTTTCTTTTAGGGAGACACAAGTACTACTTAGAACCAGAGAGATTGAAAAAGAGCAGAAAGCATATTAAAAGTAGCTACACTTGAGAGACGATCAATCGAAGACGACGAGCTTCTGGTACTCCGGCCCAGAGATGGCCTTGTCCATGATGTCCCTGGGCGTCACGATTCCGTCGCCATCAAGGAACAACTTCACCATGTTCTTGGAGAAGCCGCTCACCAGCGCCACCCCCTTCTGCAATGCTGTCACAGGCACAGAATCGGAGTCCCTCAGGTTCCAAAAGACAACCTCCGGCACCACCGCACCGTACCCGGCCTCCGTGAACTTCCTCGTGATCGCCTCGTAGTCCGTCTCCCACGGCCTCGACGATGCTTGGTCGAAGTCCATGTCGCTGAACACGAACACCCTCTTCACCATCTGCTCCGGGGTAAGCTTGCCGGCGACCGCAATGTGGAGGAGCTTGTCGAACACGGCCTGGAAGTCTGTGTTCATGTTCCAATTCATGCGACGGATGAAGTTGGTCTTCTCCATCAGGGTCCCGTCAGGGATCTGGTGCAGCTGAGGCCGCGAGCTGAAGGTGATGACGCGGTGGTGCCACGGCTCGCTGCTGAGCTCGGAGACGAGGAGGCCGAGCGAGACGCAGACGTCCATGGGGAGGCCGTCCATGCTGCCCGACACGTCGCACACGGCGATGCAATTGTTGAGCTTGCCAAGCGCCCGCAGGTCGGTGACCATGCGCTCCCACTGCAGGTCGGCGACGCCTTCGCTGTCGATCGACGCCAGGATCTCGTGGGGTAGCAGGGCGCCCGCCGCGATCTTCGCCTTGCCGGACTTGACGTCGGCGAGGTAGCTCTCGAAGCGCTCCTTGTCGCGTTTGACGAAGAGGTCCTTGTAGTTCTTCATGGCCACCGACGCCACGCACTTGTAGACCACGTCCCCCCACGCCTTCGCCGAGATGAAGATCTCGGGGAGCTTGAGTGCACGGCGAAGGGGCACGAGCGCCTTGTGGAGGCGTTCGCGCACTCGGTAGGCGTAGTACGCGTCCTCCAAGTCGTCGGGGAGGTCAGGCGCCGAGCCCTTGGGGAAGAGGCGGCGCGCGATGGCCTCGCAGAGGAGCGTGGAGCGGTCGTAGCAGCTATCTAGCGACGGGCACCACTTCGCGGCAAGGGAGATGTCGCTGAGCTTGCCGTCGGCGAGCTTCTGCATGTCCTCGGCGAGGAGCTTGGCGAACAGATCCGCCGTGCAGTCGTGCAGGAGCCGGTACTTGGGGTCACGGGCGTACCGGTCGACGGCTCTGGCCGCGGTATCTGCGCGCCTCTTCCTGCGCTCAACGGCCGCGTCGGCTGAAAGCTTGCGGTCGCGCTCGTTGGCGGCAGCGATGCGCGCCTCCCTTGTCTCGGCGCCGCGTGGCGCGTTCCCCTTGCGCCGTGGCCTCCTCTCTTGGCGGTTGTGGACGAAACGACGACGGCTGCCGTCGCGGTTACGGACGACGAAGCCTCCCAGGGCGGCGAGACGGGCCTTCTTCCCGGGGGTCCTCGTGGAGACACCGCCGTGGATGATGCGGTGCAGGATCTCGGGGAGGTCCTTGAGGTAGCCGAACTCTGCGACGGGGCCCGCGTTGAGGGCGAGCGCGTGGGGTGGCAGCCGTGCATCCAGAGCGCCGTGGCGTAGAACCCCTCGCGGTCGGACTTGCCGGTGCCGCGCACGCCGCGGAGGTTGCACGCGAGGCGGAGCGCCGTGTTGGGCTCGGCCGCCACGCGTCGGCGAGGAGGGAGGCGACGGACGCGGCTGGGGTGCCGGGGACGACGTGGAAGAAGAAGTCGAGGCAGGGGTCCCCCGAGGAGACGAACGTCGGCAACGCGTTCTCCGTGCGCGCCTTCTTCGGCCCGGGCGTCGGCTTGTTGAATTCGGCGTCCATCAGGTCCAGGAACGCGTCGCCGGTGGTGGGCATGACCGCGGCCGCCTTCTCCGCCGCCGCCGCCGCGCGCGCGGCCGCGGCGTGGAGGCTCTCCGCTGGTGGGCCGAGGAGGGTGTAGGACACGTCATTCCGGCATGCCGGCGTCGCCATTGGGTGGTAGGCTGGTAGCTAGGGTTTGGGTTCTGGGTGTTGGGAGATTTTCTTTTGGTCGATGACGGTGCTCGTGATTTTCGTGATGATCTGGTAGATCGGAAGGGAAGGGTATGGATTTATTTAAAGGTCAGGGTGAGGCGGTGGATCGAGGGCCAAGTCGGTGCTTTGAACCGACTCTATTGTTCCGGCTTCCATGTATGCTATTTTTCCTTATTTCAATTCATCAACTGACTTGGTACCGACTCTAGCTTCGTCGGATACCATAAAAAGGGTAACCGAAAAAATTGCTTAGACCTCGTAAATATCGAAGCTAAGAGACAACCACCGGCAAACCTCCACCTTATCCGAGGCCCGGCTGCACCGCCCGGACCACCTCGAACAAATATCCAGGCTCGCCCAAAGCGGGCTCGGCCCAGAACCAAACCGCAAGGCCTCGGACGATTCGCCGATTCGCCCGAGGCCCCACGCCATGAGGCCTCGGACGAGCACTCAGTTACCGGCTCGCTCGAGGCCGGCTCGGCATCAACCCCATCACCGCCGCCTTGACCGATTTCTCTGACAGGATGTCACATCCAACCAACGCGTCCAACCACTCCCATAACGTCACCGCCGCGTCGGCCGCATCTGATGGAGTGGCCGACGGACGGGAGTCACATCAGCGCCATGCGCTGGTCCGGGACAGGGATGGGGCAGGGTTACCGGCATTGTGCTCGGCACTGCACCCACGGCCGATACCCGTCTTTGCCGCCATTGGGCAGCGGTGGAGAGTCAAGTCCAGTCCCTCAGTAGCCTCGTAATCGACGAACAAGACCAATCGCTCCCTCTCTCGAACCTCGGCTATCCGCTTCGGGCTCCACAGCCTCGGGGGACTCGCGCCCGCCGAGCCCCCCACGACGGTCCAGCCTCAGATCGACCGGGCCTCGGCTCTCCACGGTCGGACTGGGGACCGCAGACGTCGCCCGCAGAACGCGCCCATACCCGTCGTCGTCAGCAGGAGTTCCCACGCCGCGCACAAGGCCTAGCTCCTGTAGCCTCGAATCAGCGTGCAGCGCGCGCGCATCAACCCGGCCTCGGCACTCCAGCGCCGGTCAAGCGTCTGATAACCAGACGCCTCCATGGAAGAAGGCGGTGCTGCCCGCCACAGGAGCTCCCACGACGCACAGGATCAGGCGTGGCCGGCGCGTCGCTCCAGTGCATGGAGGACAAGACCGCTCCACCGACCACACCGCCACAGTGACAAGCTGCAGGTCTCGGACGCGCCGCCTCCGCTCACAAAACGCCACGTAGCAAATGCATGTACCGCCCCTATGCCTCCCTTCGACTATAAAAGGGAGTAACCAGGACCACTTCTGAGAGGGGGGAGACCTAGGCAAGCAACGCGCAACGCCCTGTAACACACACGCTCCCTCACTGCAAGAGATCAACATCTCAAGCAACCCATGCCACTCCACGCAGAGACCTAGGACTAGCTTCCTCTCTCGCTCAACTTGTAAACCCCTACTACAAGCACCTCGGTGCAAGGAATACAAGATCGCTCTCTCAGACTGGACGTAGGGCACCTATCGCTCGAACCAGTATAAACATTGTGTCTCTTTGCATCACCATCGAGGATTAGGGACACGCAGTACACTTTCACTAGTTGGTTGAGGACCCTCCGGTCCAAAACACCGACAAGCTTGCAATATTTTTCCTTATTTCAATTCATCATCAACTGATTTGGTACGACTCTAACTTGCAAAGTTGCAAGGTGCCTATATGAAGTTGTTTAAAGTTGCAAATTACTCCCTCTCACTCAAAATAAATCAATTTCTAGGATCACCTTTAGTCAAACTAAATTAAGTTTGACAAACTTCATAATAAAATGTAGCAACATCCGTGACACCAAATATGTATATTGAAAAAATATATGTCTAGTTTTTTTTATGTCATATCAATATTGATGCTCTTTTCTATTTTTATAAATTTATTAGTCACACTTTAAATAGTTTTGACTTAGGACAGCAAAAAGAAAAAAAAAACTCTAGGCCTCACCCTATCTGAGGACAAATTTGCTATTAAAAATATGTCTAACTCTTGACCGTCAAATGTAAAAGTGGCATGGTTTTCTCTTCACTCTACCTTAATGTCGTCGGCGTATCGCGCATAGTAGACCCCGAGTGACCATTAGCAGCCAGCCAGTGCCATACCAACTCTGCCTCACCAGCCAGCGAGCGTAAGAATGGAGCGAGCGAGCCTGCAACTATGTAGTGAGCCTATTTTAAACGATGCCAAACATTGCAATGAAAGAAAAAAATTTCCTGTCTGTGTTATAGCTAGGACTTGATGTTCCGGAATCCTCTTGCCGAGCTGTAACGACCCATCTCCTATTTCTGCTTCCAACGCCTACATGTTGAGTCTCAGTTACTCGAGAAAGACTTATTCATAGTGGAGATAGTCAACCTCCACCAGCAAGCAGCACCGGAGTGAATCCTTTCGATCTTTTTTGAGAGGGAAAATCATAATGAAAAAGGAGAAAAAAACGTTGAGACACATTGCAAAAAGAATCGCTTATTTCCATGTTGTAAACTAGTGAGTGGTACAGGAGCTATGTGGTCAATAACCCTCATCCTAATAGGGACACCTTGATTAGTGAGGTCAAGAATAGGTTTATGTGCATCCAAATCTGTAACCCAGTTGATGATTTAAGAAAATGACATCAGGTTCGATCTGTAAGGGAGTATATGAGCAAGTTTGCATTTGATCATCCTCAGCACGTCCACACCACAAGCATCTGCAGCCGACGACATGCTCCTTCGTCTCTCCTCCACTCTGTTCCAATGGGTCGTTGGGCATACTGACGGGACAACCACCCGCGAACTTAGATGGGGAGAACCAAGGAAAATTACGTGGTGGGTATGATTTTTTATTTTTATTGAGCCACAATTAGAGAGAGTTAAAAGTTAAGCTTCATACTTATTTTGTTCAATTGATATAATTATGGATTTAGCAAGTCGTTTTTCTACCATTTTTTCATGAGGCGGTCCACCTGACAGGAACACTGTTAAGCATGATAGTCGTTTTTCTAGTTTCTAGACTAAACACACCAGTGCCACCTAGTATCGGAGCAACACATGTACATATTTTCTAATTACTGTAAAAAAAAAGAATACCAATGTAATTTGTTCCACTCCTAGCAAAAAAAAAAAGGAAAAAAAAAACACTACCACCTATATAATTTGCTCCATTATACTCAAAAAATAAAAAAGAAGACCAATGTAATTTGCTCCACTCCTCTAAAAAGAAAAGAAAAAAGTATGTGATTTACTCCATATTTATGAAAGGGTGATCCTACAAAATAGTGTCATATGCTATCAAACAGAGTCCCTCTACTTGTACAACAAACACCGATTGATCTTAAAACGTCAAAAGTTTACGTTTTTTATTGGTATTTGTGAAATTCTTATTCCAACAAATATATTATAATATTAGATTTGTGTTTCAGTACTAAATTTCTAGATATAAGTGATGGTGAAAAATAATGGTCAATATATAATGTTTCAGAAACAGAATTGGATAACAAATTCAAAATGCGGAGCAACGAAGTCATAGCAGGAAGATAAGAAGCACAATACTCTTCTTACAGAATTGCAGAGGTCAAATTTAAGTACTTGAAATTTCTGAATCAATATAGAGAACACAAGTTTCAGCACGAAATCAATAAAAACTCCATTTCCAAACAGTCCATAGTTTCTCCAATTTTATTGTACGTAGGACTGACTAAAACCAAGAGACACAAACTAGAGATAGCGATCCAGTTCTTTCAGTGAGGTAGCAGCAATTTCATATAGAACGACAGAAAGAACCAAAACTTGCAACCCTTCAGCCCATCAATCGAAGACGACGAGCTTCTCGTACTCCGGCCAAGAGATGGCCTTATCCATCACTTCCCTCGGTGTCAGGATCTTATCTGGCACGTCCTCCTCACCATCAAGGAACAGCTTAACCATGTTCTTAGAGTAGCCACTCACCAGCGACACCCCCTTCTGCTCTGAGGTCACAGGCACGGACCTTGAGTTGCGCAGGTTCCAGAACACTATCTGCGGGATTGCTGCGCCGTACCCGGCCTCCGTGAACTTCCTCGTGATCGCTTCGTAGTCTGTCTCCCACGGCCTCAACGACGCTTGATCGAACTCCATGTCGCTGAACACGAACACCTTCTTCACCATCTGCTCCGGAGACAGCTTGCCAGCGACAGCAACGCTGAGGAGTTTGTCGAACACGGCCTGGAAGTCGGTGTTCATCATCCAGTCCATCCGACGGATAAACTCTGTCTTCTCGAAGAGGGACTCGCCGGTGACCTGGTGAAGCTGAGGCCACCTGCTGAAGGTGATGAGCCGGTGGTGCCAAGGCTCGTCGCTTAGCTCGGAAATGAGGAGGCCGAGCGCGATGCTGACGTCCATGGGGAGGCCGTGCATGCTGCCGGACACGTCGCTGATGGCTATGCAGTTGTTGAGCTTGCCGAGTGCCCGCATATCAGACACCATGCGATCCCACTGCAGGTCGGCGACCTCGGCGTCGTACCTAGCGGACGCCAGGATCTCGTGGGGGAGCATGGCGCCAGCCGCGATCTTCACTTTGCCGGTCTTAACGTCGGCGAGGTAGAGGCTGAAGCGGTCGGCGTCGTGCTTCCGGAAGAACTCCTTGTAATTCTTCATGGCCACGGACGCCACGCGCCGGTAAACCACGTTCCCCCACGCCTTCTCCGAGATGAAGATCTCGGGGACCTTGAGGGCGCGATGCAGGGGCACGAGCGCCTTCTTGCGGAGAAGTTCGCGCACGCGGTAGGCGTAGTGCTCGTCCTTCAAGTCCTCGGGGAGCTCAGGCGACGAGCCCTTAGGGAAGAGGCGTCGCCCAATGGCCTCGCAGAGGAGCGTGGAGCGGTCATAGCAGGTGTCAATCGCCGGGCACCATTTCGCGGCTAGCGAGAGCTCGTTGATCTTCCCTTCGGCGAGTTTCTTCATGTCCTTAGCGAGGAGGTCGGTGAACAGATCCGCTGTGCAGTCGTGCAGGAGCCGGTAGGTTGGGTCACGGGCGTACCTGTCGACGGCTCTCGCTGCGGCCTCCGCGCGCCTCTTCCTCCGCTCTACGGCAGCCTCAGCGGCGACCTTCCGATCACGCTCGTTGGCGGCAGCGATGCGCGCCGCCCTCGTGGTCCAGGGGCGTGGTGACTCCTTCCACCACGTGCGAGTCGAACTGCGGCCGCCCCGGCCAGCCCGGAATCCGCGACTGCGGCGAGCGACGAAGCCTCCTGAAGCGGCGAGGCGGGCCTGCTTGCCCGGGGTCCTCGTCGATTTGCCACCGTGGATGATACGGTGGAGGATCTCGGGAAGGTCCTTGAGGTAGCCGAACTCCGCAACGGGGCCCGCGTTGAGGGCGAGCGTGGTGGGGTGGCACCCGTGCATCCAGAGCGCGGCGGCGTAAAACCCCTCGCGGTCGGACTTGCCGGTCCCGCGCACGCCGCGGAGGTTGCACGCGAGGCGTAGCGCCGTGTTCGGCTCGGCGGCCCACGCGTCGGCGAGGAGGGAGGTGACGGTCGACAAAGGGGTCCCGGGAACGACGTGGAAGAAGAAGTCGAGGCAGGCGTCCCCCGAGGACGCGAACGTTGGCGACGCGTTCTCCGTGAGCGTCTTTGCCGGCGGCGCCTTAGTCGCTTTGTTGAAGTTGGCGTCGAGCAGATCCAGGAACATGTCACCGGTCGCGGGCGCTGCCGCCTTCGCCGCGGCACGGAGGCTCTCCGCTGGTGGGCCGAGGAGGGTGTAGGACACTGCTCGCCGGCAAGCCGCCGCCGCCGCCGCCATTGGTCTTCGTCTAGGGTTTAGGCTTGGGTTTCGGGGGTTTTGCTTTCGTTGATCTGGGGTTTGGGGTGCAAACGGCGTTGATGATGGCGTGAAAGCAGGAGGGCTTACCAAGTTGAGGGTGAGGCAGTTGCTTGCGTGGGAGCGAAGTCACGCACTGAACCGATCTTATGGTTATCGCTCCCGGAATGCTAGGATAATTAATATATCTTTTTTCCTTCCAAATTAAATCAACTTTTCTAATTGTTCTATAAGTCAGCTATTTTAAGTTTTCTAAAAAAACTATTTTAAATTTGATCAAATTAATAGAAACTAGCACCAATATTTAGTGTCCTTTTGATAGAGCTCCAGCAAAACAGCTCTAGTTTGTACATTCTCTAAAAGGGACTAAAACTTAGACAAGGTAATTTGGAATGGAAGGAATATGAGTTTCTTATCCTAGTTCGTGATAAAGTTATAGCCAATACCAACTTGTCAACTGAGCCCCCCTTTGGCAGGGCTTTTGCCGCGGCTCCTCGAGCGGCTTCGGGGGAAGCCCTGCCAAGCGGTGACAGGCAAAATGGCTTGCGGCAAGAAGCCGGCAAAAGCCCCGCAAAACCCGGTGACTCAGTTCCTCCCCACGCGAGAAGCCAAAAAATACTGGCTTATTCCGGCTCGAGCTCGTCGCTCGCTTGCATCCCCCGTCTCTCTTGCTCTCCTCCTGACGCCACACACCGACGGCCAGCCTCCCCACGCTACCTGGCCGGCCTTGAGCTCCGCCCCACCCGGCTTCTCCATGCTCCACTCACGTCGGCCTCGAGCTCCGCCCCACCGGCCTCCTCCTCCTCCCACCCACGGTCTCCAGCCACCCGCCTCGACCTCGAGCTCCAGCTCACCCCTTCGTGTCGGCCCCTCCTGCTCCCGGTGGGCCGGCCTCGAAACCACCCTTGACCTCTGCTATGCCCGAGAGAGAGAGAGATGGATGGAGGGAGTGGGTGCCGATAAGGAGTGAGGCTGTTCGGACAAGGAGAAGAAAAGAAGGGAGAAGGAAAGAAAAAGAAAAAAAGAAAGAAAAATAAAGAGAAAAAAGAAAAAAGAAAAAAATAAGGGTATTTTGGACATTTCATATCTTCTTTACACTAGGAGAAGTTGTTTTACCAGACGTTTTCGTATAAAATAAACCAAAGTCAGAAAAAACTGCTTTTCCATACGAGCCAGAGCCAGAGCCAGAGCCAGAGATGTTTTTTCACGAGCCGGAGCCATCCCAAACGGGCCCTGAGCCTTGTGGTCGGCGCCAGCTCGTTCACACGAAGCCTGGCCGTCCGATACGAGCACGCGAAGGCGATCCAACGGCCGCGGCCTGGAGAAACGGTCTCCTACCTCCGATATTTCCCTCCCCCCTTATCGCCTTCGCCTCCGCGGCTCCGCCTCGCTCGTGTGCTCGGGCTCTCCAAGGTTCTGCCGAGGTTTCTCGCCCTCCCCGCTCCCACTTCCTACCCACTCCTCTTCCCCTCCTCCACCTTCAATCCAATCTGACGACCAACTCCATTGTTGCCGGAACCCGAAGCGTGACACCAGGCGCGCATGCCGCTCCTCCTCTACCCCTTCTCCGCGTGCGTGCCGCCGCCGCGGGCGCTGCTCCGCCGCCTATCGCCGCCACCACCCATGGCGGCCGTCGCTCCGCCGCCTCCCGCCGTCCGCATACTTCCCTCGGTGGGAACGCTCACCGACCTCCCGGCGCTCCCGCCCCCGCCCACGGACGACTTCCACTGGCTCGACCTATTCGCGTTCCTCAACTCCCCCGCCGACACCTACCACCACCAGATCCCCCCGCAGCCGCCGCAGGACGAGGAGGAGGAGGAGGAGGAGCGGGACGCGGGGCTGGAGCTGGAGCTGGAGCTGGAGAAGCACGCCGAGGTGGAGAGGCAGCGGGAGCGGGCGCGGAGGGCGCAGCACCGGCGGCTGCGGCAGCGGCAGGTCAAGGCGGAGACGGAGGCCTGGGCGCGCGCCGCCGAGGAGTACCGCGAGATCGAGCGCGAGATGCTCGACCGCAGGCTCGCCCCCGCGCTGCCCTACGTCAAGTCACTCTTTGTGGGTTGGTTCGAGCCGCTGCGGGACGCCATCGCCAGGGACCAGGACGTGCAGCGACGGAAGCGGGTCAAGCACGTCTACGCCAAGTACCTGCTTCTGCTCCCCGCCGACAAGGTGGCCGTCATCGTCATGCACAAGATGATGGGCCTGCTCATGTCCAGCAAGGACGGCACTGGCAGTGTCCGCGTTGTACAGGCCGCGCACTGCATCGGTGAGGCTGTTGAGCGCGAGGTGAGTTGCTTGTTAGCTGCTATTTTAGGAGGTTTGGAGCAATACTAGACCATTTTGATGCCGATCAGGACTCCTGAACTGCTTGTGGACAGCAATGTGGGACTTACAATTGTCTCATTGTCTGCAAACAATATGTTTGATTGATGAATGATGATCCGTAGTCTTAAAGAACCTAACACTAGACGGGTTGCAATGTTTGGTGGTAGTGGACATGATTCCATCTGTTTAGCTAACAGTTCTGCTAAGTGCCAAAGTCAAACAAGAGGGTTAATCAGGCTCAGAGAGCTAATTGAAGTTGTAGGAACAGATGAGGGCATTAGGCAAGATCTGCAGTTTAGATTTAAACTGTGCAATGATATAATCTGAGAATTGTGCCGTTATGATCTGAGATTTTTTACCTACTAATCCATAAAAAACGTGCCATACATGCCCTGTATTTGATCAAAGAATGTACTTGACAATATATGTGTCTGTACATCACAAAGCATTGGAGAGTTAAAAAAGTTTGGAACTATTAAAGTGAGATTTAAAATTTGTCTCCTTGTAGAATCAGTTACTTGCCTTGTACACTAGAGTGCAGCTTCCGTACTTTTTGTAAAGTTCTGAAGTTTGATTATATCAAATTTGGAAGTAACTTAATGCTATTTTTGGTTCCTTACTTTTCCGCTCATTATAATTCCTATTAGTGTGTTCCCCATTGGAAATTGATTTGGCAGTCCACTGAAAGCTGGTGTTTCCCCTTCCTTTCTTTACAGTTCAAAGTCCAGTCATTCTTTCAGAAAAGTAGGAAGAAGAAAGACCAATGTGAAAATGACCCAGCATTGGAGAAGGAGCAATCTAAATGCCGTAAACGTGTTGAGAGTTTAGTTAAGAGGCGGAGGATGAGTGAAGCGCAGAAGTTAGTTCAACAGGAGTTGGAATTGGAGGAATGGGGCACAGAAGCCCAAGTGAAGGTTCGTTTTCTGTGCAGTGCAAGCAGAAACACAAGCCTTTTCACACACATTCTAAATTTCTAACACTAATTTCGTGTATACAGTTGGGTAGTCGCCTGATTGAATTATTACTGGATTCAGCATTCGTGCAGCCACCAGCTGATCAAACACCAGATAGTTCTCCAGATATTCGACCTGCATTTAAGCATGTGCTACGGCAGCCAATAATAGAAAATGGGTAGGGCTGTGTTTTTCTCTTTACAATTGTGTTGCACTGTTCCATGTTGTGTGGACGCACTACAGCACTAGCATGCCTTGTTTCATCACCATCCTATGCTTGTATAGGAATGTATGTGCAGATGTATAAAGAGTCTTTTTGTGATATTTCTCTTCAACCTGCAGGAGGCTAAAGAAGAAACATTGGGTGATAGAGTGTGACCATCTTGTGCATCAGGGGTTTGAAAGCACTGTAAGTTTATTTTGCACTGCCAACCACATCAGTTTTTCTGATATAAAATAGATTTATTGATCATGACAACCAAAAGATTAAATGGAAAACAATTCTACTCACCTTCCTTTCCATGGGCATTGTCTCACACGTCAAAAATGGGGATGACAAATTGCAAATTTCTTTTTTCTGCTCGACACCTTTTTTTGTTTGCGTAAAGGGAATTTAGGATTATTTTAATTCGAACTTGCAGGCTAGACATATTGATATACCCTACCTTCCTATGCTGGTACCTCCGAAGAAATGGAAAGGGTATGTTGGTGTTCAATTTTTGTACCTTTCCAGCATGTTCCTTATATATTGAGACTGTTTATGACTGTATTGATTTATAGAACTTACTGCTTCTTGTTGCGGGTGATTTGAATACGCCAACCATAATTTGCTGCAGTTATGATAAAGGTGGTCACCTTTTTCTGCCCTCATACATTATGAGGACACATGGTGTGAAGGACCAAAAGGATGCCATTAATAGTGTTCCTAGAAAACAGCTGCGAAAAGTATTTGAGGTTTACTGATCTCCCATCTATGTCACAATGTGCACTTATATTTCTTATTGTTGTTGTCCTTGGCATAAAAAATACTACACATGGTTTCTTTGTTGCTCTATACTTCATATAAGACTGACAATATGAGGTGTTCTAAACCACAATAACCATAGTTATCTTTACCAAATCCTTTTTCATTTTGTTCAAAAGATAAAACCCTCAGGGCTATAGATGCACTCCATGCTTCACATGATATTTAACATGATTATATCCCTTTGACCATTATTTTTTCATGCTTGCTTAAGTTTTAGCATGTTGCCAGGCATTAGATATCCTTGGGAGTACTAAATGGAGGGTGAATAGAAGAGTTCATGATGTTGTTGAGACTATCTGGAGTCGAGGTGGAGGCATTGCAGGGCTGGTGGACAAGGCAAATGTGAGTTCCTGCATATGATTAATATTTTTGGATCTTGAAATCATTTGTACTATGTTTTCTTTCCCATTCTGTTCATTCTCCTCGCTTACCTTTTCAAACATGCTGTCTATCTCTCTTTTATTTATAGATTCCTCTGCCTGAACGACCAGAATCAGAGGACCCAGATGAAATGCAGAAATGGAAGTGGAGTTTAAAGAAGGCAAAGAAAACTAACCGTGAACTGCATGCTGAGAGATGTGACACTGAGCTCAAACTCTCGGTATGCAGTACGAATAATTACTGTTCATTCTTGCTGAGATACTGTGGCGCAGTTTATATGCTATCGCATTTCTGAAACTCTA